TAAAGAAGTTGATGTATAATCATAAGTTCCATCCAACTGATTGTTCGACGATCATACCTAATGTCGCGATTTAGTCTGTGCACAACCGATCCTCACGGAATTTAGCCTACTGATCTCAAAGCTGGACGTCAACTGAATCTTTCATCTGGTTCAGCAACACTGTTGGACACTTCCTGGTACCGATAATAGTGTGTTGCCTCTGTAGTTGAGTTCTCACACTTACTCAGATCTCCTTTCTTTGGTATGTTGGTGAAGTGTCCTTCTTTCCAGTCTGTCGACACTTGTTCTTCCACCAAAATCTTCCTGAATGGAATGTGGGGCATGTCTGCGGTTACTTCTATGTCTGACCTCAGCGCCTCATCTGGTATATTATCAGGTTCTGTTGCCTTCCCACTCTTCATTTGTCTGATGGCCATCCTGATCTCTCCGATCCTTGATGCAGTGATATCTATAGGAAGCTCTGTAGGTGCTACTTCGATATCCCGTGGATTCGACGGAGCTGGTCTATTTGAGGGTTACTCGAAGTGTCCCACTCATCTGTTCCTTTGTTCTTGAATCTCAGTGATTAGCTTGCCTTCTTTGTCCTGGAGCAGTCAAACAGTCAGTCAGTAACAACGTAGAACCTCGTATGTACGTACGTACATCAGTTCGAGTTGCCACACCACATTAGCACAGAGATGCAGTTGTCGATTCAAATCCCCTAGTGGTAGAGGAAGTAAGAGTATAAGCAGTAATAGGAAAGATTAGAGTTTGAAGATGTTATTCAAGGAGTATAATCCAGTGAAATAAATGTGGAAAGAGAAAACAAGAAAGGGACATGAAGAATTCAGAAGATTAGAATTTTGGAGAACACAAAGAGTGGGTGTCATTGTGAACGATTTTCGGCCATGTCACTCAAGGTCCCTAACCATCGGTTGCTATCATCTCGCGGTCCCCAACCAGGTAGTCTACACCTACCAACATGGCTCAGTCCACTTGTCAGTGACTTCATGATCTTGTGCCATGTTTTGGTCTGATCGCCCCTAGCTTTCTTCCAATCTACTCCTATACAACAAACATCGCACATCGAGGCAGTCGGTGGTTGGGCATACGTAACACGTGTCCCAGCCATCTCAACTGATGAGGTTTCACTACTTCATCAATTGACTTGCCATCCTTACCTAGTACCCGTTTCCTAACACCTGCGTTACTTACTCGATGCCTGGACCGGTTTATCTGGTTTACTATATTTCCCTGCCAGGTTATTCGTTGTATCATATAGCTGTTTCACATTTCCTTCTGTCGCAGCTTTTTCCACTGTCGCTGCTGGGTCTTCCACGTATTTCTGCTTTTCAGCTCTAGTGAAGCTCGTCACTTGCTTGTTTGTTTCTGTGTATTCAGCTTGTGCCTTGACTTTGCCTGTTCTTGTTCGGCTGTTGTTAATTGCTGTCTTCCTGTTGTATTTGGTCGTCGCAATTGTTGTGCCGGAAAAGGCGCTGATCACTTATACTCGGAACGAGGGATCCCTGGGATTCTCACGGCGTGAAGTAAGGACGCAAGACTGGTATAAGTGATGATTTATAAGCCCCAAAACACGACAACGACGATGATCAAAATAGTCTAAAATACATTAGTTTATATATTGATTGTACACCCATTTTGATTAATAATTAGGATTAAATCACATACTCAGTTATAATAAATCACTTACTGAGCATAGTTCTTGTAAAGTGAATACAAGAATATCACATATTATACAGAAGAAAATATCATACTGGGAAAATAAATCAAATACTACACTGAATGATCCTCACGTTGAATCAAAAATGGATGTCAATGTTGAATAAAACTCATAATGAGTAAATCAATCGAAAATTGACTCTTCTTTCCATCATATCATAATTATACAATAAAAATATACGTTTAGTATTGACCCATAAAAGGATCCCAAAATTACCATTCATTATGTTTCTCGGGTCCTCACACTTCTTCACTTGAATCGTGTCTAGGGTTTCCATAGAAATCCATTCCTTATGACGATGCTTCTTGCGGCTCAGAACCTCCTGTCACGTTGAAGCTGGTGCTTCTTTGATCTCTTTCTAGTTGTCCTTCATAGTAGTTTCTTCTTCCTTTAGTAGATCTTGTAAGGCTTGGAACCTGTTGTTGAGAGCTATCTTGAATTCACCGAGTTTTTCAGCATCTCGAAGGAGGGCTATATAGAACCTCTGTAATGCTGTTTACCCAGCTGTCCAGTGTTTCTTTAGCTTCAGTTTTATCTTGGCAACCATCAGGTTGTGATCTGAAACTATGTCAGTCCCTCTCCTAGTTCTCACTTCTTCCATTGACCTTCTGAATTTCCTAGTGATGCAAATATGATCTATCTGGTTCTCGGTGGTGTGGTCCAATGAGACTTATATGGATTTGTGTGTGCGTTTGTGTGGGAATATTGTGCCGCCTATAACCAATTCGTTGAATGAACATAAATTTACAAATCTCTCGCCATTCTCGTACGTTTCTCGCGGTCAGTCCATATCGGCTTGTAATATCTTCAAAGTCGGTATTGTCCATTTCAAATTTGATTTTAGGTCTCTCATCAGGATGGTCAGGCCCTTTCCTCGGCACTTCTCTACAATCGACTGGAGCTTCTAATAAAATTGATCTTTATCATTTTCATTGCTATCGTTGACGGGTGCATAACATTCATTGTGATTTCATCCTTCTTTGTTTTGAAGAATGCTTTTATGATCTTCGATCCACGAGATTCCCATCCTATGAGTGCTTTTCGTGCTTCCTTGAACAGCATCAGAGCGACTCTCTGTGTGTTCTAAGCATTTTTTTCTTCATGGCCAGAGTACAACAGAATCTCTTTCGAATCTAATATTTGCTGTCCAGCCTAGGTCCCGTGGGTTTCACTGATTCCGAGAACCGCCAAGTTGAATCTACTCATTTCCGTTGCTATTCGACTGGTCCTTCCAGTCTCCCACATTGACTGGAGATTCCATATTCCGATACTGATTGCTTCTCTAGTTGTTTGGACGGGTGTCGGCCTCATGATTTCCGAAGAATTTTGGCTTTCATCGTGAGGCGTCATAATTCTTCTAAATGAAGACCCTTCGATTCCCAGGCTAGAGTATAGATGGTTTAACTAGTTTTTTTCTGGCTAACGCTTCCTAGGCAATACTGTTTTCTACGGGTTGTGGACCCCATGCCCAACCCTCCTACTTTTACCCGGGCTTGGGACCGGCAGTAACCCTAGAAGATCTACAGCCAGAGTTTATATCATTATTACAATGGGCAAAATGTTCAGTTTGAATCATTTCCGTGTGAATTTTGTTAGTCATTGGTTTGAATAGTCAGATATTATTGCCTAATATAAGAAACTGTTGATATTGGACTCCAATGAAATAAAATTTTATTACTCTAAATATTAAATAAAGACTACTAATTCAACATCCATAATCAAGATAAAGCTATATAACTCAATTTTACAGTGAACTACATTTCTTGTTCAACTACTAAAAGCCTAAAACATCAAGGATACAGATAGTTCATTTGTGATTTATCTATTCAAGAAAATTAAACTTAGTTTAAAACAATTAGTTCTTTTGATAAATTTCGATAATGATATTAGAAGACGAAGATTATCAGAACTATGTGATATATTAGCGCAATACATTTCGAACAATCTGGTCACACATATACTTGTTAAGAGCATTTATATATAAAAATAAAAGGTCAACTAGACAGGAAATGCTCTTAACAAGTATATGTGTGACCAGATTGTTCGAAATGTATTAAACTTAGTTTGCTTCTTATAAATGCTGTACTATAGACATACCTATTTTCCATTGAAAATAATGACTTCTGCTCATGACTTACTTCACTACCATCAACGTTAATTAAATGAGACTATATTATGCGAGAATATATATTATGTGTATGTATTTTTATCATTATCATCATCATTTTAAAAGAACACTGATAAACAAGAAAGTGTTTACATAAAATGAGAATTAAGGAAAGTAATTAACATTCTACAATGCATGTATGTATATTTGCAATTACTCTGAGGCACTATATAATATACGTGAAAAAGATGAATAAAATGAAATCAAAACAGGATACATCATGATAATAAGGAGAGATTAATTACGAAAATGAAAAAAATACAAACAAAAGCTCAGCTATTTGTACATGCATACATAATTGTTTTGTTTTTCAATGTAAGAATACCGCCTAGTATATATGGCTTCCAATTCTCAATTAAACAATCAAATTGGATAGATAATTGTGCGAATAATGACCACATAACAAATTTCAACTAGTTATATGAGGTAATAATTAAATTAAATTGACAATTGGAGTAACATTAATAATAATAAAAGCCTAATCCAATTTAAATAAAAAATAAATTGAGAATTAAAAAGAGACGTTTACAATATACTCCCCTTTTTTGTGTGGATACATAGATGATTCAAAGAATGACCATACACAATTGAGGAAATAACGTAGAAAGAAGTAGCATCCACACTACTAAACGTATAATAATGAGGTAATCTAAACAAATGACAGAAGGTACTAAGCCCATCATCATTCATTTATCCTACTGAACAATGTGTTATTATGTTCCATATTTATATAAATAGATAAATAAACAAGCAAAAAAAACAAAAACAAAGAAAACTAATAAATAAATGGAATGTAATAATACGTTTTAACAGATGTAAAACATAAAAGAAGTGACATTCCAAGAATTAGACACATTCACTGAATGTGAAAAAATGAGATGTGTAATTAATTCATTCGTTTTAAAGATTTCAAAAGTATTAGAAGCCAATCCAAACAAAATAGAGAAGAAAAAACAAACAAACAAATAGATAATTACAAATTTCAATTTGGTGATAAAATTGTATTATAATGTGAAATAGTATAAGTTGATCAAATGTTCAATATTTTTAGGACAGCTGTGTTTATCCAAATAACGTGTACACAAAGATCAAACGAGTGCATAGTCCCAACAGTTAAACAGCTTTATACAATTTGATACCTTGAAAAATGTAATGAAAGGAAAATTATGAATGATAAATTAGTGATTATGAACATAATTGATCTCTATTTCTGATCAATATTTATCTTTGTACAAATATATTATTATTCTACTTAAATTCCAATTTTGTGTACATTATGTGGATATAACCCAATGTATCGAAGAATCAATGTTCTCAGAATGCGTTAAACTCAAACTCATTCAAACTGTAGTAACGAAATAATTTAGCAATAATAAGGTATAAAGAAAATATCAATCAAAATTAATGGGTCTCAAATAAATAATAACGATGATCACAGGATCTAGCATGATAATAAATGGATATTGGCAAGACTCTAATTTAGGGACGACTCAATCAGAAACGTTTGAACAATTTCAATTATTAGCCAATCAGAAGACAGTTAGTATAAAGTAAAAATATATCATAAGAAAGTAATGAATTACAGTGGATATTCTTCTTTTACATGATCTAAAAACTTGTTAAGGTTTGATAAAGGTTCAGAGATTCTGAATTCATAATGCATACGGTATAGAAACTCGTCCACAGGGTTAGGGTTGTGACCTCTCAATAAAAACCTCTGCTCTAAAATTCGCTGTAAACTGATCGTATGTTAGCATCATGTGTTGAACTTGGCTCCGTGACCCTGAAATTGCTCAAACGCTTCTTTTGGGCTCGTCTCTAAATTAGAACCTCGCCACCCTAGCCTAATCCTAACCGTTACCCTAACCCTATGGGCGAGTTTCTATACCGTATGCATTATGAATTCAGAACCTCTGAACCTTCATCAAACCTTAACAAGTTTTTAAATCATGTAAAAGAAGAATATCCACTGTAATTCATTACTTTCTTATGATATATTTTTACTTTATACTAACTGTCTTCTGATTGGCTAATAATTGTCAAGATCGTTCAAACGTCGTCCCTAAATTAGAGTCTCGCCAGTTTTATTTTGGAAACCAAACGACAAGCATAATTACTAGACGCGTAATAACTGTCTTCGATTATCTCAACTATTACAAACTCATGTAGGTTTTCATTGAGGTCTTTTTTGAAGTGATGCAATTTGTGAAATGTAAAAGTTCATACATCTTTCATACTCACCATTGAAAATGCAAATAATAATAGTTTATATTACAGCAATGGAGTAGGAGGTGAGTAATAAAGATATTTTCAATCAAATATAATGATAATTACATAGATTAGAAAGTTACATGGCTATACCTGTTAAAAGTAAGAAACTTTTCACTATTATATTGTAATGGTGTTCAAACACATGTACTTCAGTTTATAATATTGGATAGCATAATCAATCCAATCATTAGCCTTTAAAAACAAGGAATATTGTCAAGTAGCTGAGTACATAAATTCAATCTTATTAGTTGAGTTTGCTTTCAAAGATTTTAATCGATTCTGACTAGCAAATAAAAATTAACTTCTAATAGTCTTAAACCTAGAATAAAATAACTCTTCAGCATTTTTGAGTATTCAATAATCTCCTAGTTAGTGTCAATCTGTCAGTCAACGTAGAGCATGGCATAATTGTCACAACACATCAGCATAGACAAATAATATTATCAGGATGAATACCAAAGTCGTAGAGATAATGGTTATATCAGTGTTAGTGAGAAAAATCAGGGAAATAGAAGTTAAAATTTGAGAAAGAATGAACAGAAGACATAGCATAACCTTAAGACGTATGATGTAATAAAAGAAGATAGAGAGTGCATCTGTGATCGGTTCTGAGCTAAGTTACCCAAAAGTCTTCAGTCATTTGATCAAGATGAGCTTGTGACCCTCAATCAGGTTTTCTACACCTAGTAACACGGTTCAGTCCAATGGTCAATGATTGAATAGAATAATGTCGCGTCTTGGTTTGTTTGCCATTAGCTCGGTTACAATCTCCTTCTACAACTGGGAATATCACGTGTCAAGATAGGTGGCGGTTGAGTAGATGTAGCACAGATATCATTTCGTGATGAAAACTTGATATGGAGAGCGATGACCTAGCCGCTTGAACCGCGAATGACCTATGAATCTGAGTTTTCCCAATCATTAATGACGCGTGATCACATCCTGAGTTATACTTACACAACATAGTTAATGCATTATAGGTGTTAGCTACATATGCTTAATTGTATGACTTGGTAAATAGGTATTCACACAGTAAGTTAATGAGTAATTGATGTTAAATACTATTTACTTCAACTTGTAAAAGTCTAACTGTTAATCTGAATGTAAATAAATCATATGAGGTTAAATAAATTCATACCAGCAGCTTTTGTGTTTCCATGACGATGTAGTGAAGGAGAACACAGGTGAAGACAACCGAATTATATTTAGCACAAGATTAGAGTTACTTGGTAACATAGAAAACCCATACTATAATACCTAATTTGCAAAATGTTCAATAATTGTCTCGGACTTCATTGTTCTTGCATTTCTATACTAATTACTTTCTATTCCCGTTCTTCCTTTCTTGATCTTCCCCCATCTTCTGCTGCCAGACATTACATTCCTGACACGCGTCACATACTACTTATATCAATATAAGTAGCAGGAATCACAACGCTCCATTGAAATCTAGGTTTCAGTACCAATCACAAATCACTTAAGAGATTTCATAGACCTAACAAAACTATCCTTCTGAAAAGTGAAATAATCTATTTAAAGAAATATTTCCTAACTATCTGGTAAATTTCAGTGACAATAGAAACACCAACAAATATAATGAATAGATTTAAAAAAAAGTATTTACAATCCATAATTTCATTTTTTGCCAATTGAACTTCTTTACGTAGTTCAATAATAATTTCACGACGTAAATTATCCAATTCTGAACGAGTAAGTGATAAATCAGAATTTATAATATTTGATATTGTGGAACAATTAGATGTATTAACATTTCGGCTGAAGAAGAAGAAGAAAAAACAAACATTTGGAAATTATAAATTGACATATTTTCTTTTTTAGGAATGAATTTACTTGTTGATTTCATATAAATTACCATGATCTAATGAAACACACTCAGTGGTCCAGTAGGTTAAGCGTTCGTGTGCGAGACTGAAGGCCCTGGGTTCGAATCCCGCGAGCAGGATCGTGAATGCGTTCTGCTGGGGAGTCCCACAATAGGATGAAACGGCTGTCCAGTGCTTCCAGGTTTTCAATGATAGTCTAACATCAATAGGTTCATGATCTCAATCAAAAACATTAAATGTTTTAGTGTACTAAAACAAGCAACGATTAGACGGAAGTGTTAAATGAATTAAATGAAAATTTCAATGAAATGAATCCCACCCAACATAATGGTTGGCCATTTTCATGTTGTTCAGTTTTTAGTATTCATCAAATCCTATCGATCGAATTGCGATGTGATCAATAAACCTGTTATAACCTAGTGAAGATGAACTTATGAGTAACTTTCGGGACCTATTAATGGACTAATATTATCGATATATTCTTATGGTATAACTATTCAGTAATTAGAATGTGTATATGTTATACTTGTGACCACAAATTAGGGAGTAGTGACTTATCGATCGGACCAGTGACGCATAAATCCCATGGGAGCAGTCTAGAGTACTATCAGTCCTGCTTCCTGTCTAGCTCAGCCAGTTAAGTCCAGAACACCAATCTCAGCCTCTGCGACATGAATCATTCATTTCAAGCATACTGGGTTTATATACCAACCAGACAGACCACATCGTACCATAAAATATGAAACAACATTTGTACAAGAGTTAGCTAAATGTGACTGTGAATGAGGGAGGTAGTAATTAATAGACGGGGCATAGTTCAAGAATGGTAAATCGTATAATAATAGTTCATAGATCAAAATAAAGCTCATAATAAGAGGGACATGAATATGAACAGTTTAGGTATTTAACAATTATACGATAAAAATATACGCATAGTATTGGTTCACAAATAGATCCCAAAAATTACCATTCATTATTCTTATCGAGAAATAACAGTATATTTATATTCCTCTTATTATAAGCTTCATTTTGACTTATAGATTATTATTATACGATTTACTGTTCTTAAATTATACTCAGTTTATTAATTACTGTCCCCCACGTTCACAGCCACATTTTGGCTTGATTTTGTATGTTATTTCTTATTTTATGGTGCGTTGCGGTCTGTTTGGTTGATATGTAAACTCAGTATGTCTGAAATAAATGATTCGCATAGTGGAGGTTGTCATAGACATTATGGACTCAGCTGGGCGGGCTAGGCTGCTCAGACCGAACGAACGTCATTGGTTTAGAACAGTACAAGAGTGAAAAAGTCGTATTTTGATTGGCGAGTAGATTACGTGATAACTAGAGGGCCATAAAGTCACAACAAAACCCAATAAATACACATTACAATGCATATTTTTATTATTTTAGGCGACTGATGACAAAAGCCAAAATGTCTGTTAACCAGGTAATATTCGTCAATACGGTGTATTTTCAATTTTGCGGGAGTCTATTCATCTCTAGGTGTATTTAAATTTGATCATAACAAAGAACTAAACATGAGAATGTTTACTAGACAGTATGTAATTTTTTTGGGTCAGTACAATTCAGTTATAGATCATCTGATTGCAACACTGGGTGATGAGGAAATAAATAGACACTACCAAGACTGTAATTGATCGCTGAGAATTAGGATAAAATCTTACTCGAAGGATTCCAGATGACTTACTTCAATAACTTAACTTCCGTAAATCTACAGTGAATAGTTGTACAAAACCATTATGCTTTAAATTATTATTTATACAGACATATCCCACAGTATCAATGCACTTTAGCACAATTAAGCTTGATTTCCATTTATGATCACAGTTGTCTAAATGAGACATACTTAGTATTCAAATTGGTCGAGTCGGGAGATTTTGTCATCAAAATTTAGTAATGAATTGGTCTAGTACAGTACACAATGCAATAGATATTAGTGTGAAGAAAATCGCTGAAAAAAGTCAGTAGATTTTATCCAGTTTTAGTTGTTCTACTTTTCGATCACCAGTATACAACTGTCAACAGTACAATGGACTAATTCTTGATTTCAATACAGGTTAAGACATTGAAGGTAATCCGAACTGTTGTTTATAAAAACTATTCATGGGTAAGGATTATGTAGACTCTAAACAAAAATATGCTTAAACAGATATTGTCATATTTATTCCAGCCCAGCTGGAGACAATATGATAACATACGAGGAAAATCGATAGTAAGAATAGAATTATTAAGAAGTGATGGAGGGACTTCGTCGTGAACAAGATGATCTCAAATGCTGTTAGAGGTAAGGGGGACGCTCGTCACTTATTGGTTACCCAGATCGTAGAAGGATATTTCTTCTTTAAGGACCTGAAAAAGGAACTGGGTTAATGGTGGTATTAGTGGCTGCAAAGCCCAAGAGACAACTGCTTAAGGCCAGTCACATGAGGAATTTCTATGAGGAGTTTTTGATGAGTCAGCTTCGTACTTTAAAAGGCCTAAACCAGGGACGAAAATCCATGGAGTAATTTGCAAAGTGACATTTTTAGGAAATAGCATCGCTATCGATCCTTACTGTCTGAGAGAAACACTTTACTGATGTCACACTCGTGTACAATCAGAAGTACGACTTTTTCGCCACTCTTAGTCTTACTGCTCAAAACAGATCTGGAAGGACTTAAAGGAACCACTGTTCCAGCCAGTGTATTTCGATTGTGTCATCATAACAAGGAAGCCAGACCATTACGTCAAGGTAGTAGCTACGCTTAGAACAGTAACTGAAAGCATTATATTATACATAAAACACCATGTTTACTTATGAATATTTTTCAATTTAAAAGTGAGAACTTCATTAATCATTTTTAGAATCTCTCGCAAATCTGTATGATAAGCAAGAGTTGAAATAATAATGGTAGCACCAACGACGATAGGAACAGAAGCCCAATTTTGTGAAGAAAACATGGAACCGAGAAATCGAAAGCATAAAACAACACTAGAATTCAAGCTGTACGCCATATGAAATTTGAATTGCTAAATAAGATCAAAGCATAGGGGTGAGTCAATCCGATGCATTAGAACAACTTTTCAGTTTTTGCGAGAAATTCAAAAACTAAAATGACTTTTATTTTAAATAATGTATAACTAGTAGCTTAATTACTTTTGTATAATGCTCATAACATTTCAAATTACAATGAAAAGTGATTTTTCTTGTCAACAGAGTAAAAACAACAATAAGATGATGGTTGAAGTCAGTCAACAGGAAACCCTGGATCCGGGTTTCGTTCTATTTGGCACTTGTCAGCAACGTGTACCTGTAATCTTGAGGGGACTGGTGATCCTTAGTGGAGTCAATCCCATGTCACCCAGCTTCACAGTCAGAGACTAGTGATTAGATTCAAGCTTGGTGGATAGCATTCGATCTGCACTAAGAACGACCTGATATACATGACAGTGACCACCACCCAATGATCAACCAAGTGTGAATATATCTCAGTCCTACACGAAGTCGGTCGCGGCCAGGATAGCCTAATGGTAACGTCTCTAACTGTGAAGTTGGGTGACACGGAATCAAATCCATCAAGGAGCACCAGTTCCGTCAAGATTACAGGTACACCTTGCTGACGAGTACCAAATAGCACGAAACCCTGGTCCGGAGTTTCCTGTTGACTGCCTCCAACCACCATCTTATCTCAACATAGTGCATGCAATGTCGAGTCACTTAGACTAGCGGCCACATTGCAACTTGATCGATAGCATTCGATCTACACTAAGAACGACCTGAAATACATGACATTGATCAACACCCAGTGATCAATCAATTGTGAAAAATAACAATTTAAACGTATCAAATATTCAATTCTTTCTGTATAAACTGCATGTAACATATAAATCAACTCTAGACCTAAACTCTAATCAGGAACAATATAAAGACTTCTGAAAAACGTTTTGTATCCTTACAAAGTTTCAAGACGATAAATGTTTTATAAATATATGAAGAAATCTATAAGTTAATATATTTTTTCGATTTACATACGGGGAAGACGCGTAGATCTCAATAGAATAATTATGTAAAATTTTAGAATATTGATGAAAAATGGGGAGAACATTGTCACGATTACTTCAAGAATAGTTAAAACTCGTCTTCCCTACAATATTACTCATACTAAAAAAGTATAAAAATGTTATTTATTGTAATATTGAAAAAAAGTTTTAATAACTTACCTATTCAATGATGAATCGATCGAATTAGTCGATATAACACCGGTATTTTCAGAAGGTATGGAGATAGATTTTGACGACTAGAATGTGGATAAAATTAAGGGTGAAGAATTTATATAATTTAGAAAAGAAGATGGACTTTTTATGGTGAAATGAAAAGAATAGTTTAAGGTTCATATTATTTACTAAACATTTAGATAGATAATTGCCAATAGTGTTCAGTAGAGAATAATCGTAAGATAGATTTTCGAAGTTCTAGTCACAAAATAAGACAGATGAAATCCAAATAAATCTATAATGGGACATGAATCACTAGTAATGAGAACTACAGAAACCTAACTTGATGATCCTAAAGTAAAATATTCATCCCGAGACTTCAAACTGCTTGATGCTCAAACCTACGTGACATTATGCATGTCCATTGGCTACAGAATCTAAAACGTAGACAAAGCCGCACTATCTAGTGCTCTTTTATTTTAAGATTTAACATCAGCTGAAAACATTTTACGAAAGACGAAGAAATAGTAGACTAGACACATCATTGTTTTGATTAAAACAAGAATCTCTGTAAATCTTATAGGAAGTACATTTGTTGTGAAGAGAACAATGGATAAAAGATGATAAAATATGGAAGCTACTTTTTGGGATATTAGTTTACTTAGGTTTTGCCCTGTAATTAATAACATTTGATGACTGTCTTATTACATTAATTATAAGCTTTTGTTAAATTTATAAACTACTGTCATATCTTCATCTATTCGATACTTACGGTAATCTGAACACAGGCTTTGTATTCTATTTTCGTAATCTAAGAGCCTTATTTTCAGACATTGTGTTTTAGTTAAATGATTTATATATTTGCTTGTGTACCCTTTGGAATTAGATATATTTTGGGAATCAAGGGTTTTCCACAGATCCCTTCTCTATTTTCTAGCCAACCAATCAGTGTCCGTGTAGTCAGCGAATAGGATAGTTTTCTGCCCTCAGGGTCAAGTAGTCAGACTAAGGTCATGACAACAATGAACATGCTAAATAGTAAAATTAAAAAAAGCTAAACCGTCATGAATCAGAAGGACAATCTAAAACCTGATAATTAAATGTTCATCGGTCCCAGTTATCACAGTCGTAACATCAGTCTATCAAATTACCGGAGATAGATTGAGAAAAACAACAATAATAATGGTAGCTTATTAATCTTAAAATAAAAGAGACAAATTAATTACTTCCAAATGATGGTCTTTTTTAAGCAAACCACATTCTTCTTCAGCAGCATCGATTAATTGTCGTCTAGCTTGTATACGACGTTGAATTTCAGCTAGCATAGAGGATTTTTGATCAATCGAATCTTTTCTTAATTGCTGTGTAGAATCTGTACGTTTTATTGGGTTGGTTTTGTCATTTTTCGGTTGAGTAATTGATGATAATGTCGGTGGCGCTGGAGGTGGTGGTGGCGGCGGGGATTTTGTAGTTGAAATTATCTGACACAAAGAGAAAAATGTATTGAAATATGGCAATCCATAATAATTTGTGTAAACTGTAATGGAAATCAAATCAAAAAGTTGATATCGATTCATGAAACCATTGATTGAGCCACGTAGGGTAGGTATAAACAATTAAAGTTGTGGTCAGCGAATAAAGATTTGAGGTGACATGATTCAAAATTAACCATAATCGAGCAGATGGGTAGACTCTTTATATTACCTTAGACCTTGAGTCTCAGTACTTCTTCAGATATGGTTTCTAGTTCTGTATCTTTTACAAATGTTTAATTTTCACATTATCATTGCTGCTACATTATTTTGACCGCCTTTAGTATTTATATTTTCAAATTCATCTCATCAAAATGATGTGGTATGAATATATGGGTTAACATACACAAGTAACAGACTCTAAGTTGATTGCGAATTGACGGATTGTAAACTGCAATCCATACAGAAAGTGTGTGTCTACAAAAGTGAAATATGTTTTGCACAATTTAATGTATATCTTTACCCACTCCCTACTATCATTGTAAATATATTTATCAATGAACTTTGGGTGACATTAAATCATAAAGACATTAAGATAATACGAGTTTTGCTTTAAACTTACAAGACAGATTTCAGTCACAGAAAAAATCTAATTCGTCACTATTTAATAGCTGAATTCATGAGTCGATTGAAGCTAGACCATCATGGAAAACCTGGAAGCACTGGACGGCCGTCCCATCCTAGTATGGGACTCCTCAACATGGCGCATCCACGATCCTTTCCGTGGGATACGAAACCAGGACTTATCAGTCTCACGCGCAAACGCTTAACCTCTAGACCATTGAGCCGGCATCTAACTGTGTTAATGTCCAACTTCAACTAATCCACAAAACTGAGCGACACATCCACCATTGTCTTCAGTGAGTTACTATCTTACAACAGACCCAGTTGAACTCCATTGGTCACTGCTTCTAATTAGAACTCCAATGTAGCTTTCATTAACACATGATCTCAACCACTGAAATTGCTATAATATTCACAAAAACCCTTCCGATAATGTGTTTTTTCCCCAAATAACTGTATGAAATATTTTTATAGACAAAATACATAGAACTTTCATTCAGATTAAATAATAATTTACCAACTGGAAATTAGTTATTGTTAGATCTACTTTGTAATTGTGGATTTCATATACACATAATTCTAAGTATGCATTTCACGTTTAATGTAGATGAACAGAATAACTACAAATTTAAACTATGTACTTGTTAGATCCTTCATATATTATAAACTATAAAAGAGTAGGCTTAATTCCATAGTTCACAAATATTGTGACAATCATGAATTCTGATACGTCCAAAATCTAGAATGGATAAGTTTCTTTCGTAAAAATTTAATCCATTTAAGTATACAGAATCTACAGTAATAGCATACTATTTAGGATAAAGTTTCTTTATACTATTTGATCAGGAGATTACAATTGAAATCTGAGTAGTCAGTTAGTTAGCTATCAGCGAAATAGAACCTAGGATATATATGTTTTGGTTCAAACTGTCACATTATATCGGCACAGAATGAGATCACTAAGATAAACGCGAAGATGACCTTGGTCATGAAGTGATATCACCTGAAGAACTATTAAAAACAGTAGGTGTACCATATAGATGTTTCACTCCAATTTGAAACTTTTCGGGAATTAAAAACCCATGACCTCTCTGGCAACCTAACACTGAATTCTAGGGTCTTGCAGAAAGCATATCACTCTTGATAGTTGCTACAGTGTGAAAATACAACTTTCGGAATTATTTTATCAAGGATTAATGTCTGTGCTTTTATTGTGTAATTATAAGACACTTGGATTACTATACAATAATATCATTTTAGTTGAAAGCTTTCATTTGGCGCATAAACTATTGATCTGTGTCTTACTTTTCATAAGTTAGTGTAAATTGATGATGGGCTTATTACTTAGTTTTCTTTCATATACAGTGTAGTTATTTCCATGAATAGTAATTTCTCATTTATTTCGCTGTGAGGTCAGAAAAATAAACTGTATTACCACATTAGTTTGAGTTGTGAGTTTTACCATACAAGTTATCTGTCTGCTGTGTTATTGTTCTATTATGATAATTGGGCAACAGAATGTGGGAAAATGAATCTTGAGAAGAAATAGATGTCGCAATTTATTTTGACGTTAACTCATAAATGAATTTCCCAATAGGAGCGTATCACTGGTTAAGTCTGGGATGCTAGGGTATAACCAAAATAGTGCACACGTAGTAGAGAAATATTATAAGATCTTAATTGGTGAAACTTATCAAACGATATCAATGAATATGATTTACAGTCATTACAACACTGATATTGACAGGCATCGAAATTCTTGTAATAGATTGAGATAATTCTAACACTATAAAATAAACGACAATAATCATTCTCTAAATAGGCATTAAATGTATACAGAAGATAACACGACGTTACGAAACATAAGTTTTGAGCACACATACGTAAGTTGACTTAGTTTATCACTTAAAGTACAATATGAAGATGAATTAATTAGAATCAAGAAAGCGACTTTTCAGATTTTGAATAAAATTCAAATAATACCCATAACAATAAGCAACAATATCTCTGTATACTACTCAAAATGTTCAAAATTATAATGAAAAATTACCGAAAACCACCATAAAGTAAAAATCATTGTGTTTTATTCTATTTCTGTACATTTTATATAACAGGCAAATCAATACTATCCTTACATCTTATCCCTGATTCATAATCTTAACCTCGTGGTAATATAACTCACAAACAAGAAAGTTAGATAATACCTTTTGGATATTTGAAGTAAATACATTCATCCATTTGAATACAGAGAATTTTTGTATTTCAGCAGATGTCAATTTGTGATAAAAGCCCTACTACTAGGGTCTTTTTTAGGGGTTAGGTAAAACATATAATCAATATCCATAAGGAAGACTTTTCCTATCATTGCTTTTCAATATACCGCCAGATCAAATAGTAGAAGACTTATATAAATGTAAATCTGTCTACACGATGTGACATTACTGTTTGCTTTTTCACTAACTATCCATTTATAAAAGATGATTTCTGATTGGTTGAGAACTGATCAAAAGTTCGTCACAGTTGATTTAATCTCGTTCCTATACCATACTACTATACGATAGGAATATGAATTGTTTATCAGCTTCTGTGGTTTCCGTATCAAAAGTATACACCTATAAAAAATTATGATTGAATACATCAAATTAATCAATTTGATCATATATTTTAATTGATAATAGTTACCGGATTATTGCAAGAAGTTGAATTAATACTTGGTTTTATTGAAGCATTACATCGATTTTCTTTATTACGTTTACGTGCAGCAATAGCTTCTTGTAGCATAGCAGCTAATCCAGATGATTCTGACTGTTTAGCTAACTCTTCGTCATTATTCTGATCATTATTATTATTACTACCCGGTACTGATGTTGTTAACACTGACGATGAATTTGAACTGTTTGTGCTAACAGCAACACTTGAATGATTAACAATTTCACGAGAAACTGTCAAAAATAGAAAAAAAAGAGAAAACATGAAACTTTATTTTGTACAAGTGAAAACAAAAATTACGATAAATGTGTTAAATTTATAAAAAGAAAACGACAATGTTAAGTAATAAGTACCATTTTCATTGTACATTCCACATAGTGTTATACTGTTAAGTTAGTATTTTAAATGTTCTGGAAATTCTTATTACAATTATTGAGAAATATAATGAATGAATAATTAGTGTGAAACATAAATTTTCAGATGTTTTAATGACTAACACTTGATTGACAATGTTCCATAAGTTTGTGGAAGTTTTAATTCATTTTTGTATTCGTTATTTGAATCTTCCAATTGATCAGTCTCTTATTGGCAAATGTCTATCCTGTGAGAATTACCTCGATATTCCACTGTTAGCCACCACCACCACCACCACCTCTGCTCATAACGTTTATGACTAAAGGCAATATCGAGGCAATCCGTACAGAATGTACGTATGACAGTAAGAGACTGAATAACTGAAGTCCTAAACATCAAATGGAAGATTCAAACAACCAACACAAAAATCAATATGATAAGTGTTCAAATGTGAACTTCTTTATCTTTTCTTGTTATGTGCTACTGCATTCAGTCAGTCATTCAACTACAACGTAGGATCAAGCACATATGTGCATCGATCCAAGTTGCCACACCTCATTAACACAACAAGATGAACACCGAATTCATAGAAGTAGTTAATTCAATGGTGGTAATACATAAAAGAATGATTGTATATAAGAATATAGCACAGGAAAAAAGAATTGGTTGATAGAAAGATATAAAGTAATTTTAATTTCATAGTTTAGAGGAAGACAGAAAGTGTACACAGCTACGCCATTTTGATTGATTCTGAGCCATGTCACCCAGAGTCTCTAACTGTAGTGTGAGTTACTTATATCCATATAAGTAGTATATAACGATGGTCAGGCATAGAATGTATTTCAGTAGAAGATCGATAAGGAAAGAACGTGAACGGAACGCAATTGGTGTGAAAATGAATGAACAATGAAATCTGAGACAATGGACTGATATTTGCAAAAAGAACAGTCAAGTTTGAGATGATGGATTGATATTTTGTAAACTAACTATTTACTATATGGTTCTCAGATTTTAGTGAGATGCTCTGTAATTTCGTGTCATATACATTCGATTGTCCCCACTCGTGTTCTTGTTCACTACACAATCATTAATAACGATAATCGTTGTTGCATTATTATTAATTCGAAATATATTCAGTTACTACAAATTCATATAAAGTAGAACTATACAGAAAACTAAATAAGTTACTCAATAGTCGTCTATGTACAAGATGTTTACTTACTAGATTAGTGGCAACATAGAAATCTACACAAATTGTGACCATCTAGTATCGGTTATGTAAAGCAAAACTGTCTATTCAGTTTAGATTTCTTTAATTTCGATAGTAGTATACACAATGAATGCTCTTGCATTATTAATTTTATAATTTGTTCCATTTATTAGCTTTCTACCGACTGGATCACGAAGACGTCAACATCTGAAAGGAAGCACGGGATACAGTGGACAGATAGGATGCAGCTGGACGACCTAGACTTCGCAGATGATCTGGCCCTCCTATCGCAAATGCAACAACAAGTGCAGAAGACGACCAGTGTAGCAGCAGTCTCAGCAGAAGTAGGTTTCAATATACACAAAGGGAAAAGCATGATTATCCGACACAACACAGCATGCATCAATCCAATCACAATTGACGGAGATTTGGAAGATGTAAAAACCTTTACATATTTAGGCAGCATCATTGATGAGCACGGTGGGTCTGATGCCGATGTGCAGGCGCCGATCGGCAAAACGAGAAAGGCATATCTGCAATTAAAGAACATATGGAACTCAAAACAACTGTCTGTTAACCAACACCGAGGTCAGAATTGTCAATACAAGTGTCAAGACAGTTCTACTGTATGGGGCAGAAACTCGGAGAACTACGAAAGCCATCATCCAGAAAATACAAGTGTTTATTAACAGTTGTCAACGTAAAATGCTTCGGATCCGTTAGTCAGACACTATCAGCAACAACCTACTATGAGAGAGAACAAACCAGAACAAATCAACTGAGGAAGAAATCAGGAAGAAGCGCTGTGAGTGGATAGGACACACATTGAGGAAAGCACCCAACTGCGTCACAAGACAAGCCCTAAGGAAAAGAGGAAGACCAAAGAACACATTACGCCGGGAAATGGAGACAGACATGAGGAAAATGAACAAGAATTGGATGGGACTAGAAGAGAAGACCTAGGACAGAGTAGGTTGGAGAATGCTGGTCGGCGGCCTATGCTCCATTGGGAGTAACAGGCGTACGTAAGTAAGTAAGTATTAGCTTTCTGATAACGACTCTGTTTTTAAAGCACTGTTTATATGCTTTAGCCTATTACATTATTTTATTTCTACATTGATTAAAAGAGTTTCGTATGCACAGAGTACTTATGAAACATGAATACTGAATAATAATAAGCAAGTTTCTTCACTTGATTATTTGCTGAACTAACATAGAAACTAAATAAACGATTTCCAAGTTAATATTTATATAGTAATGAAAATCGACTCATTTTAAATGATATTTTCAATAATTTACATAGATTAAAACTTAATACATTAGATTTTCAAATCATTAATCAAAGATTTTAGTGGTTTTATTATTTAACACTGACCTTGAGAATTCAAACCTGACCAGTTACTACTGATAGACTCTCCAGTTAAAGATGGATTCCTCAAATTTTGATTACTAAGACGATGCATTGTGCTCAAATAATTACCATTAATTGGACCATTACCAACACTACTTCCACTGCTACTAGTACTTGCATAACTCGCTAAACTTCCTGAACCTACATATCCATAACCATAACCGTAGCTAGTAGATGATGAAGAGGCAGATGAAGGAGTTGCAATTGTTCCAGGACCTGTAGCATAACCTAAACTGATTGATGATGTAGAAGATAGTTGACGGCGATGTGTTTCAAATGCACCAGGATCTTTACTACCACTACTATTATTATTATTAGTCAGAGTAGTAGCAGTTATCAATTTATTTATTTGATTAGATTGATTAACATGATCTTGATATTCATAATTTGCCAATTCATTGGGTTCCGGTTGTTTTCTGAAATAAATCAGAAAAAAACTGTTTTAGCATATTCAAGGCTGCAAGGTAAAGAATTAAAAGTCAATATAGTAGAGAAAATAAAACTACCTGTGGAATGTTATAACCAGAGGTGGATGGTGGCTAGCAATAAAATTCAAGACGCGAGTTTTGTCCTATTTGGGACTCGTCAGCTGGATATACCTGCAGTCCAGAGTTGATCTTCATTATTTGACTATAGGTAAGATAAGGAAGCATTTTTCCAAAATAGAAGCGTCTCATACTAACTAAGGTGAAATAGCTATTTACTGTTCACTAGTTCATCATAATACCATGAACGATATCAATCCATGGTGGTGGAGAGAAAATCATGTACACATAAAACTAGTAGTTGAAAATCCTACTATGTACACGATATCACGATAAAAAAAACAATTGGACTAAAACAAACGTATACACACATACTATGCATAAAGGGTTATAAAAAAGCCATCAGATTAAAGTCTGAAAAACATGGAATCAGTTATAATTAACCTAGATCCTAAAATGAGCATTTCCTAGTTGAAGTTTTCGCATCAGATCAATACGAAATGAAATCAATAACATGTATTGAAAAGAAGTCTAAATAATAGTAGTACTAATAATAGTGAGAAAGATTAAACATTGAAGAATATAATTTGAAGTTAAGTTACAGATAACAGAATCTGAAGACATAGGGGGGGGAGATGGGGTGAATGCAAATGATTCTAAGCCGTGTCCTTAGGACTTCAGCCCACAAACCATACAAAACCAAACCACATCCTCTGCAATTATCAATATAGCTCAAACCAGTATTTAATACTTTCATAAACTTATGTAGTATTTTGTTTTAACCTCATTGGGTTTTCATCTAACCTCCTTCTACTAGTTTCTTATGAATTTAATTGATACAATTACCTTGAGGATCACACCAGAACTGAAGTGGCAAAAAAGGTGATAACAATCCGTTTAGGAAAGGATTTTTATCGAATATTAGGATAAGAATAAGCTGATAATGTCTGTGATTATATGATAACAGTCTATGGAACAATAATCAAATGAAGTTCGAAACTGTGATTATAACTTGACAATGTTAAACCATCTTTACATGGACAAAGTTTTCACAAACTACAAGCCATTCATTATTAATGACCAACTTTGAGATGGATCTCCTAATAATCTATGAACTATGAAACTAACCAGGTTGATCGTGAGATACTTATCTAGACGATGAAATCAGATGAAGATCAGTTTACAGTACGAACTGAATAAAACTTATGGATGAAATCTTATTGGATTCCAGTTGTTTAAATATGTCTTTTTCACCACAGGACCTGATGGTGGAACTTTGATCTCGTATATATAAATATATATAGCGAGATTATAATTTATGGACGAACCAATCAGATTTAGAATAGCAGGTCTTGGATTTTGACACGAAATTCATTAACCCATTTGGCCAAATAGCGTCTTGAAATTTTAGCTGTTAGTTCGTTATGAAAAACCGTAAATCCAATTCCTAACCTTAACCATCAACTGTGAATCATAATCCTTATTCTTCAAACTGCTTTATAACCCTCGTTTAACTCCAATAAGTAGGTAGACACTCTCAAGGTCACTTTGGTGTCTCTTGAAGGTCGTCCATAAATTATAGTCTCACCATATATAGTTTTAAACTGATGCAAATTGTTATCCAGTGCTCTTTAATTGATAATCTAACCTTCAAGCTAATTCCAGTTCGAGAAAAAAAATACATATATGCAATGGATCTGTTTGTTATGTTTGTTGACTTTGCCATTTAGAAAGAAGCATACACATAAAACAGATAGAATATAAATGTATATTTTCTTTCAATCGAGTATGAACATGTATTATATCCAGTGAAGAAAAAAATTAGCGCACAATTCTAATAGACAATTCGTTAGTAATCAATATAGAATTGTTTACTCTTAATAATGTAATTAAGCTAGTATGTATAATATAACTCATACTAAATGAATTAAGTAGGTGGAAGGACAGGGTAAACAGTGAACATATTAACAACATAAATCTCAATATATTAAACAAACCAATTCAGTAATCTATGTACAGATTTATAAACTATGAACATTCAGTTACATTTCGTCAACTGAGAGTTGCTACTGTACCAATCTAATTGTTCCTAATAACATACAGTATGAATATGTAACTCTAATGGAATAAAATTCTAAATGTAACAACTACTAGGCTATCGCTTTATATAAAATAAATAAGTTATATGTTCAATAAATATGGAAAGGATTATCTTACAAAGTTTATGGTAAGAGGATTTTTTATCTTAGCTTATAACATTACACTTACCCTGTTTCAGTTTACATTATGAAAAAAAGAAACCCCCTACAAGTCAACGGAAGTTAGACTTTACCTAACAACACTAAATATTTCTCTAGAATTGTAAATACAGACGATTTTCTAGAATTTTTGTCATTACTAATCATTTTGATAGTGAATCCATGATCGGAAAATATATCGAACAGCACACATTCGATGTTTTTTATCAATATAGGATATCATGCATTTTTCTAACCATAATTTAACTATGCAGTCTTAACCGCTCATACTGAAAATAATTGGTACAATTTCTTGTATTCTGTTACCTGCATAAACAGCCATTAACATTTCATGAATTTTCAGTCAATTTTTTAACAAAAACTAATAAATTAGTTCATGTAATTATTAAACTACTTTTTACTTTACTTACGCTTGTTACTCTTAATTGAGCATAGACCGCCGACTAGCATTCTCCAACCCACTCTGTCCTGGGAATTATTAAACTAACGATCTAAGATCTCATATAATGTTTTTTGCTTTAAACAAACATAAAAAGTATAGAAGTTGAAGAAGCTGAGAACTGCGAAGAAACGAATACACTTACACTGCTGCAAACGATTACGCAACTTAAAGTATGTAACTATATGTTATAAATTTCTTATACACTAACTACAACACTTACAGTTTATCTTGTAATTAACACTAATAGTCAGGAATCTTATTATTAAATGCTGTGTAAAGATTTTATACGTATTAGATCTAAATTTCGTGTAATTTCGACACTTACAAATAAAAAAACTACCTATTATCATGACAGAACTAACGTTATCCAAGGTATCCAGACTTGCATCACCTGTAATACAGTCAAAGATGTTAAAAATCAGGCTATTCAGATGCGACTGCCCTCCAATAAAGATTGAGATATTTACATCAAGGATTAAAAACTGGTTATCATTAAGTTTATGCCACGACAAATGTGGACGGATGAAGAAAATTAAATCGTTGGTCAATTTTTACCTATTCCAGTGTTTGTTTTTTTTTCTTTTTAGAATAGTAAAATTATGCATAATTTATCTTTTGTATTAGAAGAAGACTCATAAGAAGTTACCAGTTGATCTTATTTTCATTACAAACAATATATTAACTAGTTCGCTAAACAGTAGTCGATATTAGGCTATGATCGAAATCTGTTAATTATGTTTGCAACGTTAAGCTAAGTGTTTTAACATGGATTAAGTAAATAGAATAAATATGTACAAATACAATAGTAATAATCACGGATTAAAAAACAAACACGACTAAGTGGCCAAGAAGATAGTCATTTACTACGACAGTATACAATGTTCGTATATAAGAGTATATAAATTAGGGGAGGGTTTCTAACATACTACAACAACAGTTTGTTTCCTGATGTGTGTGTGGAGGGGTTCTACTGAAACATTAATTGCATTATTAATCTTGTACATTGGTGACAAATAAACTAATTAGGATTATAATTAATAAATTGTGTCAGTGATGAAATGCAACTCACTAAATCTAAGCTTAAGAGGTGAACACAATTCTTAACATAAACAAATCTTTATAGAACACCTATGATAATAGTAATAAGAATAATCCACTAATCATAGTCGGTCAGCATCTAGATGAATTTCCTGAAGTTCTGAGAAGAATCTACAGACATTCAAAAATCAACTACGTTGAAAAAAGAAACTTAACTCTTAAATCACTCATCCAAAGGTTATGCATTATCTCTATGATGACTGAAAGCTATCAGATTGGTAATAAACTGAAAATGAAGAATCAATGTGAAATTTCAATATGATTCCTTACATGAAAGAATTAATAAGCATTGAATTTTCTCTCATCTGTCCTATTAGCAGTTATCTTCGTTGCTAAGATAACTAAATGTTACTAAGGAGTTATATTTTATCTTGTAGAGTTTACAAGTTAATTAATCAAAATTCATTCAACTGTCTAATTCTCAAAAATGTCATAAAAACCGATGATTTAATTGGTTGAAATCCACTTACTTAGTTTCATACAGTTATCAATCTTGTGTTTATATATCCAGCATCCAAACATTTCGTCAATTATGTAGGCTACAACATTGACTACGAAGAATCAAGAAAGTTGAGTGTTTGTGTGTGCAGTACTTTGAGATTTACATGTACTGTGTGTAACTAAATACGACAATGTAAGGCTCTATACAGCTTGATAATAATTTATAATCATCTATGCGGTAAAGGAAAATTTGATCATTATTAGCTGTTACTTTTAAAATAACACCTTAGCAAAATACGCGTTTATGCACTCGAATTTCGCTAGGTTTGAAGCTATCACGAGTTCACTTATTCGGCGAACGAGAACAAGACTCGGTGACCAAAGACCAGTAAGCTAGCTATTGATGCGTCCCAGCCCCGCTAACTAGAGGGAGACGTCCAAGCTTGGAATGGGAAGTATATTCTGCGAAACAGCCAGAAATGAGCGATAACAACAAACATAATTCAAAACGAATATATGCAGTGCAAAACCGTCCTTGGGGAGAACTATCAAATAGCATACTAAAAGACGCAACGGACCAATAGCATTTAAGATATTTCCCAGTGGGAAACACGATATGAAGGTGACAAGAACGCCTTTGGCGCGAAAACAAAGAAATTCAAATTTTCTAAATAAAATTGCAAAATTAGGTC